TTGTATCTCAGACAATTGATGGATAATATTTTTATAATTGTAATATTATTAGGAATACCCAATCGAACTACTCCTCTGAGAAAATAAAATAGATTAGCATTGTTTTGATGTGAACATTATAACAAGTAAATAAATGTATTTTTCTACCTGTTCTAGTAACATTAAGGAATACCTATAGTAAACTGGCAGAAGGCAATATAGCCCAGTCCAAATCGTCAACAGTCAGATAAACACTGTCATTTCGATTACTATGGCGCAATAAACATTTTACATTTCATGGTTGCCTGTTAAACTTTAATTAATTTTGGCATTTATCGTTTGAAGGGTTCATATTCTTAATAATTGTAATGAATTTAATGATTTGTTATTTAATTCAAGCACATGGATTAATGTAACTCAGATTGAATCAGTTTTACTAACAAACATTTATTGCACATATCAGCAAGACAAGCTACTCCGCACCTACATGCACTATTTTTAAGCCTTTATTGTTAGTATGGCACGGTGACTAAAATTGCATCTTTAAGGGTTATTTTAGGAAGAAACTATATTTTTCATTCTTCATGTAAGGATAAAAGAAAATTGCAGATCCAGTAATTGTCGAACGTTATTGAATGGAAGAGAATAGCATAAATATAATGTAAATAGACCGAAATACGGAAATTAATTGAATAATGTCTATCCTAAATGATGTTTTCGTTTAGGATATTATTGCCATTGACGTTAGAAACGAGGATTGGATTATTCAATGTATACAAGTGCAACTAAGATAATTTATTTGGTTCATGTACTGTATGTATAAGAGAATATAATTTGCTATTATTGGCTAAAAAGCGGTAAAAACGTTGGATATGGAGCAGAGTAAATACTAAAATGAATTTATTACCGGGTGCACTAGCATTCAGTATATGTATTCGTTATCGAAGTTTGCGAGTATAAGCAAATAATAAAAGTAACGCCCTAATAAAGAATAATTAATGCAAAAATTAAAACGGACCTAATTGATACCGTATAGGTGTGCGATAATTCCTTTTACAGCCACATGAAATCGAACGTTTGTAAATATGATCGGAAAAGAAATCAATTGAAGTTATTGCTACACTTTGCTAATTGTGTGCATATTTTCTATTCGTTGCATTTAAGAGTGTAATAAAAAATAATAGCAATTTCCATTTATAAAAGCTAAGTGATCATCTTTTCTCGCATTAGAAACACCTCCTATATGGTATATATTCAATAAAAAACGATCCAATTATCGGATCACTAAGGAAATATATATGTTAAAATTGAGCCATTTCTTTCTTTAGGAAGACATCTTGATAAAGCAGATAGTTGATATTTCATTAGCTATTATTCAGGCATAAATATTTAAATAATTTCAAACTGTGGGACAATCTACGTGGTAATAAGAATACAATTACTTTACCAGATGCTAAGCTAAATATAGACCCACAGTTTAGAGAGAAAATTAAAAAGCGTTAGGATTGGCAACTGGCTACCAGTCAGTCCGAGCATAACTATTTACCATGAATGTGAAGATTTTATGGTTGAAAAGTGTTGTTTGTATCACTATTAATACACGTTATGGCCAATTTCGGATATTGGCCGCAATCTCTGCCAGTTTACTATTTAGTATAAATATAATGGTGCTATTTATGTCTGACCTTTTTTGTATAATTACTCTAGATTATTTTTGTATGTTTGATGATACCTTAATCAATCAAGAATTCTGTTGAAACTAATGCAGTAACGTGAATATTTATTTAAATTAGCTTCAAATAAATGTACTATTCTACTGAATCAAGATTTTAAACTTATTGGCATCGTGAAGCAATTATCGCTGTGTGCAAAATATGGTTGCTTGTAAACAAGTAATATCTAAGTTTATGTGCAAAATGTATCAATTCAAGTATGCGATTATCATTACATAAATTTATAATATTATGGAATACATTAACTTTAGATGGATTGATTAATATTAATATCCATCCTAAGTGTAAATAAATCTGAGCAGAATTTATAAGTTATACCAGGACGACGTTAATCAAAATACTGAAATTGAAAGTTTATCAAATTAAATTATTTAGGATAGAGAATGATTTCAATAAAACACTAGTCAGTATTTTTATCATTTGTAGTCACTAAATTTTTATCCAATTAGGATGATCAATACACAATATTCAATGCTTTAATCATAAAATTAGCCGTAAAAGTAATTAAACTGGTTATGCCTAGCCCTTTACTGGTAACGTAACCTCTCATCTTTCCAAATTATAAAAATAACAGCTAATCTAATAGAAAGTGTACAATGAGCATCACCAAAAACTAATTCGTTCGATGCTTGGATTAATAATTAATTTTCATGATGATATTAGATCTAGTTATTCTTTTTTGAAATAATTGTCAGTAGCATAACTGATACTCATATAAATAATTGATGAGTTCTAACTTCATAATGAGAAAATTATGCCAATTATGATTATCAATCAACAGAGCAAGTTTAAATTATCAACTTGTATTCTCTTGTTTATCTAAATGTAAAAATTCTTCTAAAGAAATACGAATAAATTATCTCATGTTTATAGCTACAATATCTCTAATAAAATTTTAATATCCTAGTCATAGAATTTACATTTCAATTTTGTAGGAATATTTATCTTAATGATGATCCCTATA